ATTAAGGCTCATTCTTGCTCTTCTGCAATCGGCTCAACCGTGTAGGGGAGACAGGCTGCCAAGGTTACTTGCCCAGCCAGCAGCTACCTGAACACAGCCCTGGGCAAGTTGTGTAGTCTCTCTAAAGCCTCAACTCTTTTCTCCTGAAAATGAGAATGAAATGATAACATCAGATCTCACTGGGTTACTATGAGGATGAAATGAAAACATGTATAGAAAGCATGTTGTGAGGAAAAACACTCTAGAAGGGTAAGCACTTAGTAAATAAAACCTGCTTTTACTGTTAAGTAAACCCAAACTCTGATTTTTACATGTAAAACACTGAATTGAATATAATAAATTTGGGTATGCTAAGCAATTTCACTAACTTGGTTTTTATTGGTGGTAATTAGCGATCTTATAAAATGGATTGATAGCCTAATCAATGTATCATGCTTCAGAACATGTGGCTCTTCAGTGATGTAAATGTCTAGGCACTGTGGAAAACTCAGGAAGGTCCAGCGATTGATAAGGTCTGGATCAGCAGATCCATGACAGTGATCTTGTGTGTTCCAGGCACCAGATTCACGCCTGAGTGTAGGGTAGCATTCACCTTCTGTCACTGCTTAGAACTTCGGGTGGTATCTGCTATGCTACAGCTAACAGCATTGGATTTAGAGTAGCTCTAATTTTTTGTTCTACTAAAAAACAAATAACCTTGGGACCAGCAGTTAGCATAATGGCTATCTCGCTGGACTCCCATGTAGTTAACTGCAGTTCAAGTCCTGGACCCGGTGGCTTAAATTCACGCAGGGCGCGTGTGTGTGCCTGCCCAAGATCCTGAGACGAGAATGGAGGAGAAGGGATTGTGGTGTGGTCATCCCCCTGGGGAGTGATTTCTCGCTTTCTGTTTCTCTGTCTCTCTCTGTCTTTCTGGCAAGTGCATGTGCCCTATAGCAAAAACCTCTCCAAAAAAAGAAAAAAAAAAAGAAAACAACAACAATAAAAACAAATAGCCATTTCTTTACTTACAAAATCACTAGTGCCCTCCCCTTCACGTTTCCCATTCCTGCCAGCACTGTGGGATTGGGGTTCCCATCCTCTAGTCCAGCATTTAAGCTCATACTCATAAACATTTGTCGAATGAATTAAAGATAGCTACCGAGTGAGGGCTTAGGCAGCTAGTATGTATTATGTTATGATTTATTTGTGTAGGCCTTGAAGGAAGTAGTTCTTCTGACTTACCTAGTGTTAATTATCTCTTATTCTCCTTACTAGATATAAGCTCCACGAGGGCAGGGTTTTCATCCATGCCACCAGCTGCAGGCCCCCCAGGATGCCTGGCACATGGTGGGCACTCAGTCAGTAGTCGCTGAATGGAATGTCCCTCCTGGAGCATTTGACAGTCCTTCCTAAGCAGAAGAATGTCTGCTTCTTACCCTTGGAGAACTTTTTTCTCAGGGCTTTCTTCCTATCTCCCTGCCTTGCCCTTCTCCTTTTTCTT